AGAAGAAGAACAAATCACATTGAAATTGAATAATAAAACTATTATTAGAAGCAAGTATTCATGATCAGCAGAAAAATTATCATAATTACCATTCATTCGAGAGTGATTTTGCTTATTGCAAACCCTTCCAGGCGTAGGAGACTCCATACAAAAGTGAAGATGGCTAAATGTATCTTTGGGGACAAGTTAGAAAACAAAACTTTCCAACTTTTTACATAATTTATGTATACTATACTTTAGTGCAGAGTGTACTATTGGGGTGGTTTGAAGGTTGACGTCGCTAAAGCACTATGGCAATATGGCACTATGGCCATAAGGTGTAAACTTTAATGTTTGTTTAATTAATTAATTTTTCAATTAATTAATTAGGCTTGCAGCAAGGGGGGGGGTGTTAGGATGGTGTAGGTACTTGTGAGCACTACGTAAAATTGATGGTGCATAGACCTACCTTACTTCTTTGATCTCTTCAAAAAGCTATATACTTGATTCATGAAGCCCCTTGCTCTTCTTGCGGTATTTTTGTGAGATTTGATTTGGTAGAGATTTAGGGACTGAGTATTGTAGCCACTGCATTTCAATCAGTCCCCACAACAAAAAATTGTGTTAACTTCTTTTGTGTGGGAGTCCCCATGTTAACTAAGAAAGAATATAATGATTAATAACAATGTCTTGTCTNTCCTTGAAATCATGGCTCTATATTTCATAATCACACCATCTTACACCTCAATCTGCTGATGTAATCCTAGTTCCGGCTGAAACTATTAAATCGTTCGCAATATACCTCATGTACATGTTGGATTATTTTCATTAGTAACAACATTCCAAAAAAATAACTGTGGAGCTCCGCTTTCAGGCTTGGCTAAATCTATATATTATGTTCTCAAAAATTTATTTAGAACTGTAAACGTATTTAAAAAATAGAGATATTATATGAGTTCGATGAACGTTTTCACACGAAAGTGCGGAAGTCCAATTTGTCATGTTTTACTGGCTGTACAAAACACTCATCGGCGGGTGCGCATATTCATCGACAGCAGACAATTTCTTGGATTTTTACACAAACAAAACTGAGCAGCATCTACAGACATAAACTTATTGTCCCTTATTGGGTCTCGAGGAAACATCAAGCGTTGCTTACAATTGAGGCGAAACTCAATATTGCATTTTTTATTTTTATTTTTATTTTTTTTACTTTTCGGTCGCGACAGACTCCTGCGAAATCCTCGCAAGCGTGTGGCAAGAGGAGGGAAACTTTGACGTCCTAAAACGCTGCTATATCCAAGTATATCCAACTAATTTTTTGCTGTGTTATGGAAAAGCTGTTAATCTTCAACATATGTAAAA